TCTGCAAGTGTGTATTTTCCAATTTTGTTAACTAGCATCCCTATAAATACCATTTAACTCTTGTTTATAGGTCACTGTCATTACAAATACCGCATATTGCATTGTGCCTCAGCGCCACAGGTTGCCTTTGTCTCTGCATCCTCAAGCTATTGTCCCTTTTCCCTGCAGAATTTTTAATTTCTCGTAGTGTATGTAAGAGCCTTAGCTGCTGCTGCTTGTGTTTTACAAAACAGTTGCTGCCTTTTATGCGAAACTAGAAGAGCCCTTTTACTTCATTTCCACGTATGACCCATCCACTCTGCATATGAGGGTCTACAGAAGCCAAGACCCCGCAGAGAAAGAGCTTATTTCAAGAATGTCAGCTACACCTCAGATTACAGCTGCTAGAAACGTTTAGCTTCACAGAAGTTAAATCAACTTCATAGGAGATCAATCATTGTTCAGCATGAATAAAAAAATGGGGCATTCTACTCTATTATGTGCTAACCTCAATTACCTGCAGTTAGTACTGATTCTGCACACAGCTTTGTTTTTCAATTTTACGTGATAACTGCCCTTGCTAGGATGTGCATTTCATAGGCAATTATCTGTGAAATAGTTACTGTGGACAGAATTAGCTTACATAATGTGCTTTCACAGCTGGAAGTTATTCTGGCATAATCCCAGTTAAAATTAATGATTCATTTATATGGAAAGAAAGGAAGAGAAACCAATATACCTAAATTCTTGCCTTTGATATATTTGTTCTGTAATTCAAATAATGTTTATCAACTTTCTCTAGACCCTAAAGAGAGAGAAAAATATTTTTAAAATAAAGATTTCTCTTAAGAAAAAAAAAAGAGAATAGAAAGAAAAAATGGGAACAAAGCTTTTGTGAATAGGGAGGGGAAGAAAGGTTTAAAAAGAGGGTAACAGGGAAAAAGAAAAATCAAGATATATTAGGTACAAGTACGCATTCCCCCCAATAAATATGATAAATATGTATATAAAAAATATACCAACAAAATATGAGAATATGAAAAAATGGAAATAAAGTGTTTGTAAATGGAAAGGGTAGGAGGGGGTGAAGGGAGGGCAAGGACAAGGGGAGAAAATGAGAACCAAGACCTGTCATGTAAAGGTACAGGATCCCAATAATGAATGTAACTGTACTGTATCCCTAAAATGTACCAATAAACTCAGTAAAAGAAAAAAATATATATACCAACAAAATTAATTTTTTAAAAAAAGATTTCCCCTAATCTCAGTAAGCTAAGGATAAATCATCATGGATGAAAAGTGCTGTGACAAGCCTAGGCGTGGTGGCACATGCCTGTAATCCCACCTCTCTAGGAGGCTGAGGCAGGAAGATCATCAATTCAAGCCTAGCTTGCACAATTTAATGACTTAGCAAGTCCCTGTCTCAAAAACTAAAAAGAAAAAGGGCTGGAGATGAGGCCCAGTGGGAAAGCCCTGGGATCAATCCTCAGGACTGCCAAAAAGAAAAAAAAAAATGTACTATGACAGAGGCAAGCACTTGGAGACAGGGAAGCAGGGCTGGCTCTCTGGGAGGATACCCAGGGCAGGTGACGCATGCACTGCGCCTTGCAGAGACGGCTATTACCAGGGGGGAGGAGAACTTCTAGGGGGCAGAGCTCCGTGCAGTAGGAGAGAGGTGACGGCGAGACAAGGAGAGCACTGCTACAAATTGGAGGGTGGCTGTCTCAGGCTCAGCATTTACCACATACCTTGCCAGCATCCTGCTGGTCCCTGAATCTTCTGAGTTTGTCCCCATTGGCTAGAAAGATCTCAGGGGAGAGGAGATCTGGGAGAAGAACTAGCCAACCCGACCAGTGTGAGGCCATGACAAAAGAAGGGATCTGAACTGTACCCCGAGGGCCACAGAGAGCCGTCAACCAATCTTCACACAGAGGAAGGTGAGGTCAGACATGCACCTGATGAAGATCTCTTCCGCAGCAGTGAAGAGCAAGTCTTGTGTATGGTGAGCACAGCAGGGAGGCCTATTAAAAGGTTGTGTCTGGAGTCCACACAAGTTAGATAATTCTCAGAGCCAGAGCCCCGCTACTGACCTGGACACAGGATGGGTGGTGATGGAGGAACAGTGAGAAGATGGGATGGGCAGCTCTCGGGACGGCTTTGAGAGGGGGAAGAGGTAGGAAAGGCTCGGGCAAGTAGAGGCCAGCTGCCACCATCACGAAGGTAGGAGGGACAAAGATGAGGTCAGAGCGTGTCAGTTCTGAATATGTCTAGGTCTTGGGGACCGTCTAGGTCCAAATTTCCATATTACATTCAGGTGCAGTATTTCTTTTCAAATCAAAAATTTAACCAACACAACTTTTCAAGTATATAATAGAAAGAAAAACTCCACCCTCCCCTAGTTCTCAACTGTATTCCCTAACATCATTCACAAAACTACTATGAGGTCCACAACCTCACTATTTTCTGATGTAGACTATTCTGAGAATCTCCAGACAGGACTCCCTGGCCTGTATGCCCTCTGAGCCAGAAAACTTTCTTTTACTCAAAACCCTTCTATACCTTCCCACTATTTATCGGATGAAACCACAATGGATCACCTGCCCCCACTTCATTATTCCTAGCAGCCACCCATGCTGTCCCACACCTCTGGCCTCACCAAAGCATCAGCCTCCCGGGGCCATCTTGTCAACCTCCATTCCCTCTTTGTCAGGGCAGTTTCCTCCCCTGTTTTCTTTCCTGCCTCCTCTGCCTGGCCTGCTCTTACTTCGTTAAGGCCTCTGTCAATTATAACCTCTTCTATGAAGAAGCCTCCTCTCCTCACACACAAGAACCAGAGAAAAGTCATTGGCCCTTCCCTTTCACACTTTACACCTGTCTCCCTACAGCACTAGCAGAACTAGGCGGTGCCCTAGTGATCTACAGTCTCAGACACTGGGTTGATTTCCACACACCTTTCCTGCAGCTCTGCATGGCCAACCCTCCATGCAACATGGTGCTTCCTGGGTTATTTTTAAGTCCAAAAGAATAAAAGCGAGTATAGTTTTCATGCCAAATTCGGCACCTGTGTTCTCAATGCCATTTGCTTCTTTTTCTCTGCCTAACCTCCGTCCCACAAACTCAAACCCACAAGCCCTTACCTCCCCTTCCTGCTCATCAGAAGTTGTCTCTGACCCTGCTTGTTACAGCTGCTGCCCTGTGTCTTCTTCAATGCCCATATTTCACAGCAGTCTGCTTGTGAGCCTGTACCTTTCCACTTTTAGTCAACCCTCAGCCCAGAAGAAGCAGGCTTCCCTTCTGCACTCTACAAACCTGTGTCTCAGGTCACAGGGGATCTGCACACCCTCTGGGTGGACCCTTCTCCTCTCTGCTCTTCTCCCACTGAGATGGAGACACCGTCATTGCTAAGATTCTCTACACTGCAATCTCAGCCTCACAGTGACACCACACCTTTTTGAAATACAGTCACAGGTTACTTAGCAGTATGAATTCTCTGAGAACTGCATCATTAGGCAACTTCATCATAGAGTGAACATCACTGAATGCACTTTTCATAAACTAAGTTGGCTATAATATCAGTAGGAAATATAATCTTATAGGACCCGTGACACAAATGCAGTTCATCACTGACTGAATCGTCTTTAGGCAGTGTGTGACTGTAAATGACGTTCACAATCATTTATCACACTTTATACTCCACAAAATAAAGAACACTCAGTCTCTAGAATGCAAGCCATTCCAGTTTTCTCTACTGTCATCACTCTGCTAAAAATGCTACATGTGGGGCGGGGGATTTAGCTCAGTGGTTCCCCGCATGGCTTGCATGTGCAAGGTCCTGAGTTCGATCTGCGGTACCAAAAAAAAAAAAAAAAGGATGCTGCATATGGCCATATCAGAGAAGCAGCTCAGGTTCCATGCCCTTGTGGAAAGTGTTTCCCCGAAGGCACCCACCCTTTCTATATCTTACTTGTCCTTCAAGGATTAACATAATTATCTCTTCTCCTGTAAAATCGAATCTTTATCCAGAAGTATCTGTAGCGCTCTATTAATGCAACAGAGCTCTAACAGCACAGTCTGTGGTACAGCAAATGACTTGAATGGTTGTTTCCCCTATTGAATTATGAAGTTTTTGAGACCAGGAACTATATATTATTTATATTTTAACTTCCCAGACCTTCAAGGTATATATACAGTGGGTACTCAGTAAATACCTAGTATGATTGAGATCAAACGTATCCCCCCGAAAAAGAGCAGTGTTCTGTGAAGCTCAGTTGCTGTTGTGCTTTGGGAGGTGATGGGATCGTGGGGGTTCTCCTCTTAATCCATGGATGAGATCATAGTTTGATGGCATTTGGGGGCGGGCAGTGGGGAAATAGGAGGTGGGGCTTAGATGAAGGAAGTGGGATTTTAAAATGAAAGATCATGGGGTGTGACCTTGAGGACTAAATCTTATCACCAGCTCTTTCTTCTCTTCCCTTTTTTTTTATTTCCTGGCTGCCGTGAAGTGAGCGGCTTTCCTTCGCCATGATGCCCTTCCACTGTGACGTTTCTCTCCCTCCACAATACTGAAAGCAAAGGAGTCAACAAACCATGGACTGAAACCTCTGAAGCCATGTGCCAAAATATACATTTCCTTCCTCACATTGTTCTTCTTAGGTATTTAGTCTCACAGCAATGAAAAGCTGACTAAATCATGCCTATGGACTTTAACAGAATTAACGGGAATTGAGGAAGTTCCAAACTATAGGAAGAGACTTATTGTTTTTTGTTTGTTTGCTTGTTTGTTTGCTTGGTTTTTGTTTTGTTTTGTTTTTGGTACAAGGGATCGAACTCAGGACTTTGCACTTGCAGGGCAGGCGCCATGCCACTGAGCTAAATCCCCAGCCCGAGACTTATTGTTTCTTGAAATTCACTCATGACCCAGGATACATCCAGTGTAAGTACTGCAACACCCAGAACATTTTCAGGTCAAGTTCTGAATGGCCCAGATGCTTCCATCCAAAGGCATTCCCTCAGATTCTTACTTTTTGTTTCTCAAAATTCAAATTGTCTCGCAAAACATCTCCAGAAACCAGCTCTCCTTCCAGGTCTGTCAGCTGGCCCTGAAGAGCCTCCAACTTGTTTTCTGCTTTCTGGGCCCTCTGTAGAGTTTTCTGGTGAGACTCAGACTCATTTCCCAACTGTTCAACAAGCTCAGATACTTGGGATTCAAGCTGAGAGACCATCTGGAAACGGAGACACAGAAGAAGGAAAAGCCTTGTTTTAGATGTAACTAAGTGTTAAAATCCAGCACTTAGCCCAAGTAGCATAACTATTTCTTACACCCACTTCCAGATTCTTTGTAAAAATTAAATAAAAATAAGTCATTGGTAGCCGTATTTGCTTCTATTTGAAATAAGTCTACATTTGTTATCTAATAAAATATCTTTATATAATCCCTTCAACAGGCTAATTGATAAATATTTACAGATAAAATTTACTCACCTCCAAAACTGTCATTAAGAGTTTCAAAGCTTAGTTGGAAAAAAGAGTTAAGACAATAAATAGTTTTGAAATCTATAAAAGAATCATTTTCCACAAAGACTCCTTTACCACATACAGTTGATTAAAGATTATATGGTGAGTTGATCTTAATAAGCTTATGGGAATTCAAATGCAGAAATATAGGTTTTCAGCCTTGAATTGAGTATTGGTTATTTGTGCCTTATATTCCAATGTCGCTGCCTCTATATGACATAGTTATACAGTGATTTTTATCATTTGAAAGATCAAAATCTCCAATATGGTGGCATCCTACAAGCAGACAGGAGAATCTGCTATCTTCTCTCCTGCCCCATAAAATCAAAGACCCTTCACTGAAGTCCCCCAAGGCTCCCCATCTAGAAAAGATGCCCAGCACTTCCACGCTTCCAAGCAGTTCTTCTCTCTGTCTTAACTGTCCTGTTGCCTTAAGCCTAGAACATAAGAGTATTAAAGACCTCAAGTATATTTTCAGATTCTCAAACTGATTTTGCTAAATCCAGCTTCCATCAAATGTTGAACTCAATAAAATCAACATACCTGGGGTGGTAAGTTCATTTCTTTTGATGGTTTATTTTGGAAGAGGAAAGGAAAATAGTAGTAGATATTTATATAATACTATGACATCATTCTATAGGAGTAAACATTTTGTCAGTTTCAGTCTTTTATAGACTAAATTTAAAAAAAGAAAACATCTTCTGCTTGCCTATCTATTAACAAACATGCTTAAAGGAAGGAAGATACTTGAATTACTTTAGTGTTTTCAGAGGCTGCTGTATGAAAAAACAATAAGATTTCATTTGAATTGTCCTCAGAGCTTAAATCGAGGTATAAATCAAAGAAGGAATTCAAGTCCTATTTAAGGGAAAATTTCTCCCCAGTCCCTATAATAGTAATACATACCCATTATAAAATATTGAGGACAAAAAAGCATAAAGAAGCTAAAAATTCTCCCATGGTACTACTTTCCATAGGCAGCAAATATTAATATTTTTAAATAATCTGTTATGCATCACTAAAATATAAATGAGATTGTGTTATATATGCAACGTTCTATCTTTGTTTCTATGTGGCTATATTTTAAGCATCTTCTTGTGCCATTTAAAATTCTTAATTAATATTTAATGCTGCATTAAGAATCCATCATGAGGTCTGGGGAATGTAGCTTTAAGTAGAGCATCTGCCTAGCATACAGGAGGCCTTGGGTTCCAACCCCAGGACCTCAAAACAGAAAAAACACTCCATCATGAGAATGTATTATGATTTAATTATGCACTCTTTTATAGGAAAGGAAAACCTTCCTAAATATTAAGGCTGTTTGAAGACACCATCCAGTAGATAAAGGATTCCCAGTTACTAGGTATGGCCAGAAGTTGGTCAACCATTTGTTAAGAATGTTACAGCATGAATTAAGGTGATATATAGGAGAGGTTAGGCTGTTTGAGCTCTAAACTCTCTAATCCTGTAATTTTATGACTTTCAGTAATTCAATTTTCTGTGTGTGTGTGTGTGTGTGTGTGTGTGTGTGTGTGTGTATTAGGGTCTGAACCCAAGGCCTTTGTATCAAGCTACATTCCCACCCCTTTTTTATGTTTTACTTTGAGATGGGGTCTCACTAAGTTGCTGTTGCCCAGACTGGGCTAGAATTTGCAATCCTCCTGCCTCAGTCTCCCAGAGTGCTGGGATTTCAGGTGTGTAACTCCATGCCCAGCTAATTCTATACTTCTGTGGGAGCTTAAAATCAGATGTTTAATAGTAAGATGTTTAGAGTCACATTTAAGGAATTATATTTCCCAAGGAAATTTTTAATGTCCTTACAGAATATGAGAAGCTGAGAAGTCTCATTCACATTTTCTACTATTAGTGTTTACTAACAATAGATCTGCTCTTGGCGCAAGAGAAATGGAGGGTTGTCCTGGGACAGTACACAAGGCAGCCTGCAGATAAATGGCCTTGCAGCAAGGTCCACAGATGCTGCCTCCCCAGGGAGCTGGGTTGTGTCATTCAAGGTTTTACTCCTGTTTTTTGCATAACAGGAGAAGCAGCTTCACGTTGGACTACAGGGAGGGAGGAAGTCTTCCCACCTGAAGACCCATCAACGCCTGTCCTATGCTGCTGGTGACCTAGCAAAAAGAATAAAACTGAAAACATCACAGACAGAAAGCTCGGCTGGAGAGAGGCAGAGGGGGTCACCACCGACACTGAGCAGCGACCCTAAGACCAAGGAAGCAATAATGATCCTGGCAGCCGTCTTGATGTGGGGCAGGGCCGTTGAAGTCAGACAACACCATTTCAAGTCCTGACCGTCCCACTCACCAGTGTGCTACCTGAAACAAGTAACTAACCCCTCTGAAACTCACAGATGATCAAATGAGCCAATATGGATCATCTCAGTAGCAAATCGGAGTTGCAGCAAAGATGCTTCCTGCTTGGGTTCCACGGGAAGCCACTTCTATTGTGCAAAAGCAAGGTGGTAAACTTTGAATAACAGCTCCCTGGGAGGCAGCATCTTTTGACCCTGTTCCACCTCCTCCTCTTCCTGTAGGTTGCCTAGTAGGCTGGACTGAGCTAAGCACACTGTGTCGACTGCGTTAACACAGACCTATTTTAAACCCCACTGAAGTCCAATAAAATTCTCCCAATTTTACCAACAGTACTAACCCTACCCCACCCCATGGGTGTGAACTCAGCCAAGTACCTGCACTTTCCATAAAGAACCTTTCAGAAATTATTCTGAGCTGTGTTTCTCAAACTATTTTCAAATGTATTTTTATTACTTAGAAGTATTTCTGGATAGGACACCATTATGGTCTGTGTCTAATGCCCCTCCAAAGCCTCATGTGATCATATGGCGTTTTCGGGGGTGGCTGAATCTAGAATGTGTGATGCTGGAATTAAGAATGTGCGATTAGGGACAGGGATATAGTTCAACAGCACAGCACCTGCCTGACAAGTGTGAGATCCTGAGTTCGATCCATGGTACCAAAAAAAAAAAAAAAAAATAAAAAAAAAAAAAAAAAAAAAAAAAAAAAAAAAAAGGTGTGTGATTACTAAATCAGCTTTCTGCTGAGAAGAAGGACTGCATTGGCTGTTGGACTCCAGTCCATGTGTGTTATGCCTTAGCAAAAAGTTTAGCTGCATTTTGCTTGTGCCTGAAACTGAGATTAAGGCTGGCAGACTACTTAATCCAGCAGAAGAAATTTCAAGACAGTCTAATGTTGAGGCAGTGGCATGGCTACTGTTGGGGACTTTTAGTCAGATTTATGCTGAGATTTAAGAGCAAAGAGCCCAGCAGAATGATTTAAAATGTTTTGAGTTTGGCCAGAAAGGAAGCACCAGTAAAGTTGTGGCCTACAGAGATAAAACAGGAAATATGTTTGGGTTGGTTTTTTGGTTTATTTGTTTTGTTTTGGTTTGGTTTTGGTTTTGTTTTGTTTGTACCAGGGATCAAACTGGGGTCCTTGCACATTCAAGGCAGGTGGCAGCACCACTGAGCTAAACCCCCAACCCTAAAACAGGAGATTTTGGTTGCTGAGAAAGAACAGTAAAATAGAAAGCATGGCCTGAGTGAATTACAAGAAGTAGCAGAACTCTACCTTTTGCAGCCTCAAAACTGGGAAAGGGATAGACTTTGCTTTGAGAAAAAAGCCCCAAAGCACCATGCTCCATGTCCCTTGGTGGCAGCCAAGGGAAGTAGTTCCTTGGGATTTGGTTCCTAGGCACTCAATCCCTACAGCCTAGAGAGAAGGAAGCCCAGCTACTCCTCCAGCTGGCAGCAGACCTTGGAGTCTTCCACATGGTGCTGGTTTTAGGTGTATGGAGAATGCAAGAGTTGTGGGGTCAGTTAGGTTTCCACCCAGACTTCAGAAGGCCTGGGAGGCCAGGCAGGGTGGCCCTGAGAGGGTAGTGTGGGAAGCTGTGAGTGTGAAGCTGATGGTGCCGTGGAGACCCCTGAAGTTTGGAGAAGCCAGGAACATGGATCATCTGAGGAAATAGAGCAGAGCCAGCCAAAGAGATAAGCTACTGGAAGTACAAACAACTGGCAGTGTCATAGGGCAGAGTTCACATCTTGCCACAAACTGCTTTGGATGCTGGACATGGAATTACAGAACTTCATGTTTGCCCTGCTGGATTTTGGACTTGCTTTGGTCTCATTCCTTTGTTTCCCTCTAATTTTTACCTTTGGGAACAGTAACATCTATTTTGTCCCGTTGAGTATTGGAAGTGTTTAACTTTCTCTTCGTTCGCACGGGGGCTTGCAGTTAAGAGTTCACCTTAAATCTCAGAATGGACTTTGGACTTGGATTTTCAGCACTGCTGAAACTGTTAGGACTTCTGCAACTCTTAGACATGGACTAAATACCTTTTGGATAAAGAAATATTTTATCTGTGCATGAATCTTTGGGAGTCCAGGGGTGAAATGTTTATAGCTTGTGTCTAGATGTTCTCCCAAAACTTCATGGGGTCATAGGACTTTTTCAAGGGTGGCTGAATCTAGACTGTGTGAAGCTGGGATTAAGGGTATGTGATTACTAAATTGCTCCACTGAATGGTTTGCCACTGCCCTAATCCTGGTAATCTGGATAAGATAGAAGTGGCAGAAAAATGCTGTTAAGGTCTCTTGTTGCTTTTGCTACCATGTAGGCACCATGAACTGTTGTCCCTCTGCCATGTCACCCTATCTTGGAGCCAGCTGAGTATGGAC